TATTCTACTATATACAAATTTGACAATCAAACAAACCTCAATCTCTCTTTGCTCATGTTCTTCTTCTATTTTTTTTTACAACTATAGCCATTATAATGGAGAAACAAATAATTCTTCAATTGAAACCTTATAAAAGTAGATAAAAATATAAATGTATACAAATATAATTTTTCATAAAAACGAGGAAAAAATTCTATTAGAAGATATTTCTTTTCCTCAAAGACAGAACCAATGGTCTATTTTATTAAACAAAAGGAAATGATACAGACTTGGTTTCAGCCCAAGTCAAAACAAAAAAAAGAAGAAGAACCAAACGTAACAAGATAGCAAAGACAAAATAAAATAAAAAAGACAAAAGCTTTAAACAACCATCGGAGAAATGAGAGGTCACTGGAGAAGATGATGAATTCAAATCACAAAAAATGATCCTAGAGTTATGTAAAAGAATCTTAAATTGGAAGGAATTTGTGGGGGAAATATAGAAAATTTGTGATAAAGAGATATTGATGAAAGAGAGTATTAATGAGGGTAAATATGGGGACCAATCACATAAAACGTGCCTAGCATAACTAATTATGTGTGTAATAATAACTTTCCTATTTAATATTTAATAATTTCCTATTTATTTATATATAATTAACTTTGCTATTTATTGTGTAATTATATCCATATAACATAAAAAAAATTGTAGCTATTTATCTTTAATGTATATTGATGTTTGCCATATTCTGTAGTTTTTCCTTTTAATTTAAATATGTTACGTAATTTTGGGAGACATTAATTTTGGTGCTTTACTTTACGAAGAAGCATTAATCATGCTAAGAATAACAATAATTTCTGAATATTAGTGGTTAGTCAATCATGCTACAACTAGGATAATATATTTAGATTTCATTGTTCTTTCTTATCGTCGATTGATTTGAATAAGATTGCATGAGAATAAAGTATCAAATAAGGTGTATACAGAGACATCATTATCAAATCAAACATGTTTGAACTTCAAGAGATCACATGTCGAACTTGTGGCGTTTCAAGAAGGTTTCAAAATGTTTGATAATAGATTTTTATGCAATCTTTCAGAACCTTCAATAAATTAAATTCATTATACAATTTATATTTTAACATGATAATTATTCCCTATTAATCTTCGTATTGAATCAAACACTATCACATAAATTAAAATAACTTAGAATTTGGCTATAGATCAACAAAGTTATTAAGCCGCCCCTCACTTTGTAGTTATGGATTTTGAGTTTGGTCCCTCACTACCCACCTTGACATTAAACTTCTACCTAAAGTAAAAGAATCCCGCATTTTTTTAGTACTAATGATGTTGACCTTTGTCTTTTCTATATCATCGCTATCAATTTGGTTTTATTTATTAATTTACTAAATATATAATTATGGACCAATTACTATTAAATATTAATTTCAGATTGATGATGAATTCATAAACTTCAAATCTTGGATTCGTTTCTTGAAATTATTTGATCTTTCCTAAACTATCAAAAAGGTCACAGGGTTAGACCTTCAATGTGTGACCTAGTAGTCAATAAATTGAGTTAAAAACCAGGAGTTGTAATGGAGACAATAATAAAAAAAAACTATGTGATTTAATTTCTTCTCATATATATGTTGAAGACTTACTTGGTGCATGTGTTGATAAGAGATAACATATACCTTTAAAATTGATTGAGATACATGCACATTAACCGACACACCACAACTAATCATTTTCCACTTGCAACTTTTCTAATTAGTCCATTATTTTATGTGTCAACTATGTTCAACTATCTTCATTTACACCCTTTTGTAGAAGACAAAAAAGTGGAAAGGATTTATGATTACAAATTAAATTTAATGTCAAATTAAAGATTGAATGCCTACATATAGCTGGCACCATGTGGGGGTAGTACACCAACCCAACCAATTTAGATAAATATTTAAATAAATTTCCTAACACATATAAATAATTATTTGGATCAAAACTGTTTAATTTTACAGAACTCGAAAGGTACCTCCCTTATTAATGATAAAATGTAAAGATTCTTTTCCTCCCTTGCTAGTATTATAATTTAACATGTTATAACAAATTAATCATCAATTACTCTATCAAGTTGTTATGCTTATCATCATAAAATTTACCTGTAATTGATTATGTAGATCTAGAAAAAACAATTAAAATTAATGTGTTTTGGTATTAATATTGATTGTTTCCTCCATCTTTAATCAGAGGTCTTGAGTTTAAATTCTTGTAAAAATGAAAAAATCTTGTTGGAAGGGTTATTCCCACAAATAAAATTTAATCCACTTCGATGTAAATATCGAACATCGAATGAGAAATCAAAAGAGAATATATTTGCTTGGTATGAAAGGGAAGACCATCAAAGGCAGTACATGCAAATAATTGAGATAATATATATATAGTCAGCAATTCTAGTGGCTGCCAATTTAGATGATATCATGAATTTTTGATGTTTCATTCATACTAGTATATATTTTCATTAAAGCTACACTCTTTTCACTCCACACAAAATCCATTTTCTTCAAGTATCAACCATGGGGGGTGAAAAGGTATGAATTCACTAATTTTCTGTATTCGAAAAAGACTTTGATCGATCTATCTATAGCTATATGACGTTTGATCAAGAATTTAATACATATGATTGATTATATAATCGCACTTATATAGATTCTGAATTTTTGTTCTCCTATTGTATCTTTTCACTTCCACAAATACAAAATAATTTAGTTCATTCTTGCATAATATTGTTCACAAATCTTTTCTATTAAGAGCTTTGATTAATTGTGTGCTTACAATTACTTTAATTTATTGTTTAATTATCAGACCGCTATCATGGTACTCAAGGTTGATCTTCAATGTTCAAACTGCTACAAAAAGGTCAAAAAAATTCTCTGTAAATTCCCTCGTAAGTTTCTTTTTTCTTGAATTCTTCAATATTATTATAACATGAATAAGAATTAATTTGATTTTTTTCCTTTTTTTTTTCGTGTCAATTTTTTTTTGGGAATAGAAATTAGAGACCAAGTATATGATGAGAAGGGCAATACAGTCACAATCACTGTGGTTTGTTGTAATCCTGAAAAACTTCGTGACAAATTGTGTAGTAAAGGATGTGGAGTAATCGAAAGCATTGAAATCAAAGACCCCAAAAAGCCCATAAAAACTAATGTTGACATCATTGAAAAGCCTACAGAGTCCGAAAAACCTAAGGTTGTCATCATTGAAAAGCCTGAGGTTGTTATCATTGAAAAACCTAAAGAAATCATAAAGCCCGAAGAAGTTCCTAAACCTACACTAGTTGCTCTCGTAATGCCAATACTAATTCAAGAATACCCACAACCGCCACACGGATATTGTTGTGGACAATGCTATGAAGGCCAAATCGGGGGCCCATGTTATCTAGGGTATGGAAGACAGCCTAGGCCTGGGCCTTATGGCTATGGTACGGGTTGTTATGTGAGCAGATGTGATCAGTACTTGAATGATGAAAATGCTAATGGTTGCTCAATTACGTAAGGTGGCCCAATTGTTATGGTTCAATGTCTGGGCTCATCAATGTGGGCTTCTATTAGTGTGGTTGTCTTGTTTTCTTTACAAATTGTTATAAATAATAAACAATGTATAGTTAATTTTCTTTTGTAAAATAGAATAAAAGTTGTTAACTAGATTGTTGGCAAAGCCTTGATTGATTAATAAATGCCATTTTTCAACATTACTAGTGGTCTAATTTCTCAAAAAATTTAACAAGTTCAATTGAAAATCCTTCTAATTCCAATTTGTGTACCACTCAACGAAGATACTTAAGTTTCCACATAAAATAAGTTATAAGATTGTTATTTTGGTTGGAGAAAAAAAAGTATTGTACGACTAATTAAGCCTAATTGTTCTAGAATTAGAGTTATAAGTCTTCAATATTTGGGATTTTTTTTTTTTGAAAAACAACTCTTGGTTTGATGTTTCATTCTTTTGGCTCTCCAACGCAATCGGTTAGGAAGTTAATTATTGTTGAAACTATGACAATAAGAAATACATTACAAACTATGGTTTGTAAAGGATAATATGGGAAATTTCCTTTCTTATCATATGCTAAAGATATGAGGGGATTTTCTTCGTGGCTCGAGAGATGGAATACATAGGACCCCTCAAGTTTGAAATAATTCGTTGAGAAATTCACATGAAAAGGAACGAGAAATTTTCAACTTAAAAAGTCCTATCTAAACCGAACATGCAATTAGTTTTCCATCAGACAACTTCACATTTGAGATCGCTAAATGCTCGAGAGTTCCTCTATTTAATCATTTTCCTTCTTTTTGTTACTGAATATCTCATTCATACACAACTTTTCTTTATTTCTCGGGCCTCAAGTGAGTCACAAACAGAACTCGAAAAGGTCAAATCTTTGATTCCGACCGAGAAGCACAAGCCATTCAACAAGGAGATTCTCAAATTGCAGAAGCTTGATTCGATCAAGCCTCTAGAATTGTGATAACTTCTGAATAGGTATCCAACGTCTGAACCGAATTCACAATGATATTAAAGGAACTAAATTTGTCTAGAAAAAAATAATAGGGAATCCACATTTACTTGAAATAGTTTTCAAATGACTATTTCAAAAGTGTAGGGGGTAAATTGTTCATAATCCTAAACTTTTAAGGGGCAATATGTCAATCCTTTTTTATCAATTTCACCTCTTCCACCATAGTTGATAAGGCGGGCAGCAACGCTAAAGCTTTGCTCCAAGAAAATGGCGTCTACTCCAAGCTCTACACTTTCTCCTCTCTATGAATCCAATATCTTCTGCAACTTCAATTCTCCCCAAAAATTCACTTTTCCCCTCAAACTTTACTCCAAATCTTGTATCCGAACGACCCAAGTGTCACTTCAAGAACAATCCCAGGTATCAAATCCCAATAATTCTCAATACTCAGATAGAAAAGCTGTTTCTTCGTCAAAAAGCAAGCTTTGGGTCAACCCCAAAAGCCCCCGAGCTTCTGAGCTGAAGCGGAAGTCTTACGATTTCAGGTATGCTTCTCTAATGAAAGTGGCTGAGTCTTTGGATTCTTGTAAACCTGTAGAAGAAGATGTTTTTAATGTTTTAGCTGATTTGGGTGACAAAATAGTAGAGCAAGATGCTGTTGTGACTTTGAATAACATGACTAATGCTGAAACTGCGTTGCTGGCGATGAAGTATTTTCAACAAAGGTTGAAATTGAGCAAAGAGGTAATTGTGTATAACGTGACGCTGAAAGTTTTGAGGAAAAATAAGGATTTGGATAGAGCAGAGAAGGTGTTTGATGAAATGCTTGAGAGAGGGGTAAAGCCTGATAATGTTACTTTCTCGACTATTATTAGTTGTGCTAGGCAGTGTAATTTGCCTGAAAAAGCTATTGAATGGTTTGAAAAGTTGCCATCTTTTGGGTGTGAACCCGATGATGTTACGTATTCTGTGATGATTGATGCTTATGGTAAGGCTGGTAATGTAGATATGGCATTGAGTTTGTATGATCGTGCGAGAACAGAGAAATGGCGTATAGATGCTGTAACATTTGCGACGTTGATTAGGATTTATGGGGCTGCGGGGAATTTTGATGGGTGCTTGAATGTGTATGAGGAAATGAAAGCGCTCGGTGTAAAGCCTAACATGACTGTGTATAACAGTTTGTTGGATGCTATGGGAAGAGCTAGGAGGCCATGGCAGGCAAAGAACATCTATGGGGAAATGCTAAGCAATGGATTTCAACCAAGTTGGGGTACCTATGCTTCACTCATTCGGGCTTATGGTAGGGCTCGTTATAGTGAAGATGCTCTTAAAATCTATAAAGAAATGAAGGAGAAGGGATTGGAGTTGAGTGTGGTACTATATAATACACTTTTGGCAATGTGTGCTGATGTCGGACTTACAGATGAGGCTGTTAACATTTTTGAGGAGATGAAAAGCTCGGCCTCAGAGACTTGCCAACCTGACAGCTGGACATACTCTTCTCTAATCACCATATTCTCTTGTAGTGGGAAGGTCTCGGAGGCGGAATTCACATTGAATGAGATGATGGAAGCAGGGTTTGAACCGAATATCTTTGTCTTGACCTCGCTTATTCAGTGTTATGGAAAAGCAGGTCGGACAGATGATGTAGTAAGAACTTTCGATAGGCTGTCAGATTTGGGATTATATGCAGATGAGCGGTTTACTGGTTGTCTTCTTAATGTTTTGACACAAACAGCAAAGGAAGACCTTCACAAGCTAACTATCTGCCTTGAGAGGGCAAATCCAAAGCTTGGTTACGTGGTGAAATTCCTGGTGGATGATGAAGTTGAAGAAGAAGAAGGGGCTTTTAAGAAACATGCTACTGAACTTTTGGATTGTGCAACTACGGATGTCCGGAAAGCTTACTGTAACTGTTTGATTGACATCTGTGTCAATCTTAACCAGTTGGAGAGAGCTTGTGAGTTGTTAGATGTTGGGCTAACTCTCAACATCTATACGGATATTATGTCTCGAACTGCTACTCAATGGTCTTTACATTTGAAGAGCCTCTCACTTGGGGCAGCTTTAACAGCATTGCACATCTGGGTTAGTGACTTGAACAAAGCACTTGAAAGTGGGGAAGAGTTCCCATCATTGCTTGGAATCAACACAGGACATGGAAAACATAAATATTCCGAGAAAGGTCTGGCAGGTGTATTTGAGTCGCACCTTAAGGAATTAAACGCTCCATTCCATGAGGCACCTGATAAGGCTGGGTGGTTTTTGACTACAAAGGTTGCAGCTACATCATGGTTAGAGTCTAGACGTGCTCAAGAGGTGGTTGCTGCTTAGCAATGGTCAGGGTTCTTTGCTCTCTGGCCTTGATAATTCTTGTGCTACAGAGATTTTGTTTCTCTTACATCTGAAAGGTACCTTTAGTAGATTATCCATTGTTTAGGATACCTCTTGTTTCTAGATGGGGAGGTTTGAATTTTGAGTTCAGTAGCTATCCAAGTGTATCTTTTGCAATCAGCAATAGAAAAAGAATTTGAGGAAAAATGAATGAGATATCATATTAATATTTTAATTCTCCAATAAAATCTGACCATATCTTGCATTGAACACTAAAATAAACTGATGGAAAACATGGAAAATGTTTAAGTTACTGTTTGCATTGTATTGGAGCAAACATAGCTAGCTCTTTTGTATTAAAAAAAGAGGCATGATATTTCTTCTTAATATCGACCAAGTTAAGTTTATTGACAAGGATGGTTGTTGTGACGTAAAAATTTTCTTTGCTTTCCCAAAGGTAACCTTTATTGTATATCAGTCATAAAGGTAATACCCTATTTGGCGTCCTAGTTTTCATATAATAAGAATTGGTTTTACCCGTGCACATACTTCTTGAAATTAATACCAACAGTTGAATTGCTCAAGAAAATTAGTAGCAGAGATAAATAGGAGCATACTCACCGTACATTGTACACTGGAGGCATTGCTGATTAAATACTTGAAAATAAAATGGATAGTGTAACCAAATGACTAAATTTGAGATCAACATCTAGTTGTTCAGCTTTGCTTTATTGGGGGAAGAAAATGTGATCTGCATTTGATCCATCCATGTTTTGAGCAGCATTCACTACTCTGGTTGCACCAAATCAAGACGAGCAGCACCAGATCTCTTGATTCAACCTCTTCGAGCTCTTCCTTACCAGCTGGAGTACGCCTACCTCATCCTCTTCCTTACGCCCCTCTGTTATCCAATATAGCCTCCTCTTCCTCTTTCAGCCTCCTACGAGGCTATCACTTACTCTTTCTCCATAACATGACCTACCATCTCCACTCAGAGCTAGTTGTCCTAACCAAGACAACAAGCATATGTCAGGAAATTCAGAGCTAGTTGTCCTAATTAAATGTGGACTGCTAATCTGAATTTGTGGAATATTGTGAAGGACTGAATGTCACTACATGTAATTGGATGTTCAACTTTATTTAGTAATGGTATTTCGCTTTCCCTGTTACTAGCTAGTTAGCCACAAAATTCAGGTATCCTTGATGTATGTTGTCACAATGTAATGGAAGTTGATGAAAAATTTGGCTCTGTTATTTTAACTGTGAGAAATATATGGGGAAAATATTATTGAATTGTGTATCTAAATTGTTACATTGAGACCCTATTTATAGACAATACATTGAAATCCTTTTCTAACTAGGATTCCTATTCCTATTCTTCTTCCTATTCTAAGTAGGAATATATATACATATTTCTATTCTAACACTCCCCCTCAAGCTGGTGCATACAAATCATATGTGGTAGCTTGTTACAGATGTAATTAATACGAGGACTTGTGAGGGACTTGGTGAAGATATCTGCAAGCTGATCATTTGACTTCACAAATTTCGTAACAATATCTCCTGAGAGTATCTTTTCTCTAACAAAGTGATAGTCAATCTCAATGTGCTTAGTCCTTTCATGAAACACTGGATTTGATGCAATATGAAGAGCTGCTTGATTGTCACACACAAGTTCCATCTGATCAATTTCGCCAAATTTTAGTTCTCCCAGCAACTGTTTGATCCAAACTAGCTCACAAGTTGCTGCCGCCATTGCTCGATATTCTGATTCTGCACTAGATCGAGCAACCACACTTTGTTTCTTTCTCTTCCAAGACACCAAATTACCTCCTACTAAAACACAATATCCGGATATCAAACGTCTATCAGAGGGTGATCCTGTCCAATCAGCGTCTGTA